CCCCCTCTTTGCCCATTTATTATTGTTGCCAGCAGGGCACTCACACTCACCCTGGGCTTGCTGCCCCCGATGGCCCCGGGCCGGATGGAGCCCGTCTCCTGGTAGCGGCACAGGATTTTGGACACACAGCCATGGGAGACCCTCAGCTGGCGGGAGATGACGCAGGGTCTGATGCCATGGTGGGCCATCTCTACGATCTTGTGTCGGATGTGGTTGGGCAGAGGTCGGCCATTGATGAACACCCCACCGAGCTGGTTCACCCGACCTTGACCCAGAGGAGTGGACACTGCGGGCACAGGAGGGGGGGCACAGGGGGGTTAGTGGCAGCACAACACCGACAATGGCTACAAATACATTCTCTGTGTGTATATATATATATATACTGTGTGTGTGTGACCCCCCAATACTGAGAGACAACACGATCACATCCGGAGCACACAAATCATCAACAACAACAACAGCAACGTGCAACAATTCTCATCATTATTATTACTACAAACTCACCGAACAAACAAAGATCCTTTACTCTGTTCCACCAAATAATAGGAGACCGGAAATAATAATCAGACACAAGAGAAGAGCGCTCTGTGTACTCCTCTCAGTGTACTCTTCTCCTCTGTACTCCTCTCTGTACTCTCCTGCCTATACCCTTCTCCCCTAAGTACTCCTCTCCTGTCTGTACACCTCTCCTGTGTATACTCCTCTCCTGTCTGTATACTCCTCTCCTGTCTGTATACTCTTCTCCTGTCTGTACTCCTCTCCTGTGTATACTCCTCTCCTGTCTGTACTCCTCTCCTGTCTGTACTCCTCTCCTGTCTGTACTCCTCTCCTGCCTGTACTCCTCTCCTGTGTATACTCTTCTCCTGTCTGTACTCCTCTCCTGTCTCTACCCCTCTCCTGTGTATACTCCTCTCTGTACTCTCCTGCCTGTACCCTTCTCCCCTAAGTACTCCTCTCCTGTGTATACCCCTCTCCTGTGTATACTCCTCTCCTGTCTGTACTCCTCTCCTGTGTATACTCCTCTCCCTTGTATACTCTTCTCCTGTTCATTTTCTCTGGTTGTTTTGGGGGGTACACGATGTGGATTCTCTCAGACACACACACTGTGTACAAGTCATGTACATTGTATCCGGAGCCCAGACTTTATTTCACAATAAGATGTGAGGGTTGGAGCCCCTGTCAGCTTCTCCTTGCAGCCCGTGTCCTGCTTGTCCTGGGACTAAAGTGATCATTCTAATGACAACCGCTTCCCTCACTTTAACATAGTTTTCCTCCGACTTCCTGTTGTGTCTAGGGGACAGGAAGTGAAGGGAAATCTCTAGAATGGGACACATATGACAAAAGAACATGTGACAAGTGGTGTAAACCCGCCCACCCCATCCAAGGCGACAGACTGGAGGACTGTGTGTGAGCCCATCGGGGACCGATCCCCAATATAACACCCGGGATCCTTCATTTCAGATACACCCAATACGATCTATCACATGACTATAAATCGCGATCCCTACTCCTGTGTACATCTTAGTGAAGTGATCCTTATATATTATGAATGACGTCACGATACCCGAAGTCGTGATACATAATATCGGCGATTATATATTATATGACATGAGATATTATCAGTGTGTGCAGATATTCGAGGTCACTATATAGAGATCCTGATGTCATGATATTTGTCATTGTAACAACCAGATGAATATTCTGTCCGCGATCCCTATTGTATATTATTCGTACTCGCATGTAAATGTCACTGAGAATAAAGATCCCCATGGAGTGTATACGTGTGACACGTTATTATGGATACAAGTGTCTGAAGATTATATATATGTGTGTGTACAATAGAAGTGATTATAGATACGTGACAATAACAAGTGCTACAAATATTATAAAGTGTCTGTACATGGAGGATACAAAGTGTCTGTACATGGAGGATACAAAGTGTCTGTACATGGAGGATACAAAGTGTCTGTATATGGAGGATACAAAGTGTCTGTACATGGAGGATACAAAGTGTCTGTATATGGAGGATACAAAGTGTGTGTATATGGAGGATACAAAGTGTCTGTACATGGAGGATACAAAGTGTCTGTATATGGAGGATACAAAGTGTCTGTATATGGAGGATACAAAGTGTCTGTACATGGAGGATACAAAGTGTCTGTATATGGAGGATACAAAGTGTCTGTATATGGAGGATACAAAGTGTCTGTACATGGAGGATACAAAGTGTCTGTACATGGAGGATACAAAGTGTCTGTATATGGAGGATACAAAGTGTCTGTACATGGAGGATACAAAGTGTCTGTATATGGAGGATACAAAGTGTGTGTATATGGAGGATACAAAGTGTCTGTACATGGAGGATACAAAGTGTCTGTACATGGAGGATACAAAGTGTCTGTATATGGAGGATACAAAGTGTCTGTACATGGAGGATACAAAGTGTCTGTACATGGAGGATACAAAGTGTCTGTATATGGAGGATACAAAGTACATGGAGGATGCAAAGTGTCTGTACATGGAGGATACAAAGTGTGTGTACATGGAGGATGCAAAGTGTCTGTACATGGAGGATACAAAGTGTGTGTATATGGAGGATACAAAGTGTCTGTACATGGAGGATACAAAGTGTCTGTACATGGAGGATACAAAGTGTCTGTACATGGAGGATACAAAGTGTCTGTATATGGAGGATACAAAGTACATGGAGGATGCAAAGTGTCTGTACATGGAGGATACAAAGTGTGTGTATATGGAGGATACAAAGTGTCTGTACATGGAGGATACAAAGTGTCTGTACATGGAGGATACAAAGTGTCTGTATATGGAGGATACAAAGTACATGGAGGATGCAAAGTGTCTGTACATGGAGGATACAAAGTGTGTGTACATGGAGGATGCAAAGTGTCTGTACATGGAGGATACAATGTTGTACATTTAGTATAAATGATATAAGTGTCTGTATATTGAGTATTGATACTATAAGAATATGTAAATTGGTATAAGTATCTGTACATGGAGTATACAATGTATCTGTACATTGAGTATCGATAATATAGGAATCTGTATATTGGTTATTGATAGTATAAGTGTCTGTACATGGAGTATACATGATATAAGTGTGTGTACATGGCGTATACATGATATAAGTGTCTGTACATGGAGTATACATGATATAAGTGTCTGTACATGGAGTATACATGATATAAGTGTCTGTACATTGATTATCGATAATATCATTGTCTGTGTATTGATTATCCATGGCCCCTGTGTGCCATGTGTGGGTGTATCGGGCAGTGACACGGATCGGTCGTCTCCCATGCATGAGGGCGCTGCGCCGGGGCGATTATTCGTCCTAATCCGGGGGAGAATCTGCAATTCGGTGAATATCGTGTGATGCAGATCTGGCAGATTAGGACGATTTTCGGGGAAGCCGGCCGCATAATTTACAGATTGGGCTGGAAAAAGGCGATATTTGGAGATTTAATGACAATCATGCGCCTCTAATTCCCAGTCACTTGGCTGCGACACTCCGGCTGCGCGATCACCGACAAGGGCCACTCCGAGGGCCCATTCCGTATTCAAGTGGCTCCGACAAGCCGAGCTCATTATTGGCAGTCATGTTGTGCAAACATGGCGCTAATCCATTGATCCGTCTCTTTGCCGTCTGTTTTACTTTCATTTGCTACAGAAAAGCACTTCACTAAATCCCCCCGGCGTGTGTGTTTTGCTGGTTTCGTGGCATTTCGCACATTTCGTGCCGCCACTTGATCACGGATTGTATGAATGTGGATTTGGAGCCATCAGATGCGCAGCGCAGCGAGCCCGGACCCCTCCGCCTCTCCTGATTGCTGGGTCGGCCATGACAGCTCCCCCCCACCAAGAACAAGACTCCCATCATCCAGCCTACTCCTCCACTCATCCGCCAACTCGGGAAAAGTGATAGAGTGCGACACAGGATGTGAGCGGAATTCCTCACTTCCCATTCCAGAGGATCGGGGGGTCATTGCTGCACAAAGTATGACCTGGAGGATTGCACCGGATCGCGGCCTGTCCCCCCCCCCCCCCCCCCCCCATCACCTTTTTAATTCATTGCTCCACGAAGTATGGCCTTGAGGATTGCACCGGATCGCCGCCTGTCCCCCCCCCTCCCCCCCCCATATCACTTTGTTTCCTTTCTGGTATAAAACTTTGTAAATAAATACTAGAAGAAGCGATACAAAGGGACACTATGGGGATAGGAAGTAGTACTGCAATAATACAAAGTATTACTAGAGGAATATAAAGTATTACTAGAGGAATATTACTAGAAGAGTATAAAGTATTACTAGAATAATATTACTAGAAGAGTATAAAGTATTACTAGAAGAATACAAAGTATTACTAGAAGAATATAAAGTATTACTAGAGGAATATTACTAGAAGAATACAAAGTGATACAAAGCGGCACTATGGGAGTATAGGAAGTAATAGTGCAATAATACAAAGTATCACCGCGGAGCAGTACTACAAATATTATAAAGTAGGTCTGAAGTACTACAACAGTACAGAGTATCACTGCAGCGATCCGAAGCGTTCTCAATAATATAAAGTATCACTGCAATGATCCACAGAAGTACTGCGATACCACAAAGGTCGTGTTCCAAAAATACACTGTAATAGTTCGAAATTGTTCGGCAATGATACAAAATATGTGCGATGATATATACACAGCAGTACTACAAGGATACGAAGTAGCTCTGCAATAATATAACGTAGCAGAGCAATGATACAAATTATTTCTGTCATTATATCATATATTTATGTGATGATTTTGTGTATTTCTATGTTGGTATGTTGTACCTTTGTCATCTATTGCATCTCAGTGGTAATATAATGCATTCCTGTGTTAGTGTGGTGTATTTCTGTGATGATATAATGTATCTTTGTGATGTATATTGTATTTCTATGTTGGTATGGTGTATCTTTGTCATATATTGTATTTCTGTGATGATATAATGTATCTCTGTGGTGTATATTGTATCTTTGTGATGATATAATGTATCTCTGTGGTGTATATTGCATGTCTATGCTGTTATGGTGTATTTGTATCCTATATTGTATCTCTGTGATGATATAATGTATCTCTGTGCTGTATATTGTATCTCTGTGGTGTATATTGTATCTCTGTGATGATATAATGTATCTCTGTGCTGTATATTGTATCTCTGTGATGATATAATGTATCTCTGTGGTGTATATTGTATCTTTGTGATGATATAATGTATCTCTGTGGTGTATATTGCATGTCTATGCTGGTATGGTGTATTTGTATCATATATTGTATCTCTGGAGGATCGACCCTGTTTCTCCAGTACAATGAGTCCAGCAGGGACCGGTTCGGAGGACCTACCTTCCAGAGGGAATCCAGTGCGGGGGTAGTTCTGACCTGGAGCCGGGCGCATCATTCTTGGTATTGTGCCAGGCAGGGCAGCCATCAGCGGTAGGTGAGCAGAAAACACCTCGGGTCGGGCTGGCAGGGAGAAGCCAGGGAGGTCTCAGGGAGAGGGGCAGAGGGCAGCCCCCAGCTCAGGATGGAGGCTCTCCTGGAGGCTACAGGGGGTGATGGTGGCACCAGGGACCGGGCACTGTGGTGGGCTTGGCAGCACTGCGCTCTCTCTCTCTCTCTCTCTCTCTCTCTCTCTCTGCTGCTCTTTTCCGGCACTGATGGCTTTTTTGGGGGGAACAGATCACGTCAGCTGAGAGCTTTGCAAGTTGTTAAAGTGTCCAACTTTGATATGTAGGAGGAGAGTGTGTGACCAGAGACAGGCTCAGCCCCGGTTCTTTTATTCATGAAGAGGGATGGGGCGAAGGAATGGGGCTGCTGGACCAATAGCAGGAGAAGGCACAAGACTCAATTCTGGGAGGACTCCTCGCCCTCCGCTCGCCTCCAGAGACTTGTTACTGTTACTTACACTGTGCCCAGGAGGGTGAGGGGACCGGCCACCGATCATCATTGTACATCATCCCAGCCTTCCATCAGCCTTCCAGGCCCGGGCTGAGACTACCAAATATTCCCCTTTATTTACTATTTACACACAGCCAGCTCCATGTACTAATACACACCATGCACAATACAACACACTCCATGTACTAATACACACCATGCACAATACAACACACTCCATGTACTAATACACACCATGCACAATACAACACACTCCATGTACTAATACACACCATGCACAATACAACACACTCCATGTACTAATACACACCATGCACAATACAACACACTCCATGTACTAATACACACCATGCACAATACAACACACTCCATGTACTAATGAAACACACGCCATGTACTAATACACACCATGCACAATACAACACACTCCATGTACTAATACACACCATGCACAATACAACACACTCCATGTACTAATTAAACACACGCCATGTACTAATACACACCATGCACAATACAACACACTCCATGTACTAATGCAACACACCATGTACTAACACACAACACACGTGCATACAACACACACCGTGTACTAATACACATCATGTACATACAACACACACCATGCACAATTCACACCATGTACAAACACACCATGTACAATACACACCATGTACACACACCATGTACAATACACACCATGTACATACACCATGTACTAATACATACCTTGTACATACAACACACACCATGTACAATTCACACCATGTACTAATACACACCATGTACTAATACACACCATGTACAATACACACCATGTACATACACCATGTACTAATACACATCATGTACATACCGGGACCGGCCACCGATCATCATTGTACATCATCCCAGCCTTCCATCAGCCTTCCAGGCCCGGGCTGAGACTACCAAATATTCCCCTTTATTTACTATTTACACACAGCCAGCTCCATGTACTAATGAAACACACGCCATGTACTAATACACACCATGCACAATACAACACACACCATGTACAATTCACACCATGTACATGCAACACACACCATGTACTAATACACACCATGCACAATACAACACACTCCATGTACTAATGAAACACACGCCATGTACAATTCACACCATGTACATACAACACACACCATGTCAGAGGATGACTTGGGAATGCACAATACAACACACTCCATGTACTAATGAAACACACGCCATGTACTAATACACACCATGCACAATACAACACACTCCATGTACTAATGCAACACACCATGTACTAACACACAACACACGTGCATACAACACACACCGTGTACTAATACACATCATGTACATACAACACACACCATGCACAATTCACACCATGTACAAACACACCATGTACAATACACACCATGTACACACACCATGTACAATACACACCATGTACATACACCATGTACTAATACATACCTTGTACATACAACACACACCATGTACAATTCACACCATGTACTAATACACACCATGTACTAATACACACCATGTACAATACACACCATGTACATACACCATGTACTAATACACATCATGTACATACCGGGACCGGCCACCGATCATCATTGTACATCATCCCAGCCTTCCATCAGCCTTCCAGGCCCGGGCTGAGACTACCAAATATTCCCCTTTATTTACTATTTACACACAGCCAGCTCCATGTACTAATGAAACACACGCCATGTACTAATACACACCATGCACAATACAACACACACCATGTACAATTCACACCATGTACATGCAACACACACCATGTACTAATACACACCATGCACAATACAACACACTCCATGTACTAATGAAACACACGCCATGTACTAATACACACCATGCACAATACAACACACTCCATGTACTAATACACACCATGCACAATACAACACACTCCATGTACTAATTAAACACACGCCATGTACTAATACACACCATGCACAATACAACACACTCCATGTACTAATGCACACCATGCACAATACAACACACTCCATGTACTAAT